GTGGCAGGTTAATAGCAGTTAGAGGGAGAATTTTGTTTTTTTATACACGTTACTCATGTTTATTTTTGTAAAATTAAGAATAAGAGAAGAGGTTACGAGCTAAAATTTAATGTCAAGAAGGAATTTTCCCCAACATATATATTATTACATTTACCACACTCAACATGTTGCGATAGAACTACCTTACAGAATTGTTTACCAGCCAGTTTTATTCACAGCACTTTCGTGAGTCACGCAGTTACTAAACTTCCTTCCCTTGTGTACGAGTAGTAATATGAATATTGACTAACCATAATATAATGTTCGTAATTATGTAATTACTTCGCCTAAATAGTTACTTTATTGTTTGTGATATTGTGAAATGTGATGGGGAATAAAACAACACCGAAGTAAACGCAAGTTGTATAGGACGTGGTTCGATGGATGGTTAGGACTGTAGATGCGGAAATTCCGGGTTCGATTCTCGGTATGACTGTAATCGTATAATAGTCACAATAGAGCTCCTTGTGAAAGAGTTTGTCCAGAGAAGTCTTGCCAACACACCAATTTCTGCCGCCAAGCAATAATGTGAGCATTCCTGCGTTCCGGTTTTGAAGGGCAAAGGTGAAAATTACAGGCGTATGCTACTTGTTTATACTTCGTTTATATTTTCAAAAACAAACTCAAAGAGCACATGTTACTGCTACAAAACACGCATGGAGTAATTTTATTTGTGTAACGCACCCAGAAACCCAAAATCCATGAAGACAGAGTGAACTTAATACGCAGTAGCCATATGTCAGTTCATATTTCAGGATTAATTATGTTATGTACTCATTTCACTCGCGTCCACATTTTTTATTTTATTTTACTTTTATTTGTTTAATTCTTTGAATTGACCACCAGCGCTGTGGCTACGCCGCAGTATTTGCTGAGTTGGGTAATTTTCAGTGCAACACACTTTTGGTCATAAAATCGTAATATTCTACTCGTACATGTGTATTTGTGCTGAATAAATTTATTTTCCTTCTTTCTTGTTTTCTTTTCTTTCTTTGTAAACTTATGTCTCAGAGTGTGCACAATTTAAAGCTCTGAATGACATTGTAACTATAATGGATAGGCGTATCGCTTACCACCAAGCACACGACTTATTCATCCCGTAATTTGATATCACAAAAAAATACGGAATATATTTAGGAGCAGAAACCTAAGAAGGGATACAAGCAATAAAGTAAGCGGCACTGGAATTAGCGTGAAACACTGGATTCACGGAATACGACGTCGTTGCCAACTAGATCTTGGTACAATGAGATACTTCCTACAGGGAAGTGTTAAATAGCATATCTGTGGTATTATCTCGTTTCCGTGTTTACGGCTTTATTGCCTTTATTGTTGTCCATGATACCAAATATTTGTGATCATTTTCATATTGTCGATAATGTGTCCAAATATATTTCTCTTTCCAATTTAGCCTATAGCCAATGCAGCTTTTTTCTAAATTCATATATTCTGGTATTAACTGACTCCATGGCCGATCAATTGCTGTTCTGCCACGCAGAGGTTTGATTCGATTCTCAGGATTCGATTCCCAGGCCGCGAGATATAATTGTATGACCTACATATAATTCTCTCCTGAGTTTGGGTGTAAATTGTGGTGGTGTTGTCTACGTGTGTGTCCATGGCACCCGCGACACAGAGTTTCTCTAGTGCGAGACTATGAGAGTGTGCGTTATTAATATATTTTAGTAATTGTATTTAGCTGTACGATTAGCATTACAGTACTTCGCTGGATGAATTCTTTCACAAGGAGCTCTACCAGTATTGTAGACTCCAGTCGGCCACAGTAAAGACATGTTCAGGAGAGAACTGCATTAGGACTTCTTGTCGAGTGAATGACAAAAACCAATAAAAATCTAGTGTTATATTTCTTTGGCCCAGTAAGCAGCCACCTCTATGCCATTCGTTGCCATGAGAGCAAGTGAGATATACTTTGTGTGGGGGATACGCAAGCACAATGTTTTTGTGTCGGTTTGATATATCCCCATTTCACCATAATATCTCCCAACAGCCAACTTGTGAACCTGAGACGATTCAGGGAATTCCATATTGACCACTGCAACTGGTGCCCGGGGGAAGACTTTCGGCTGGGGTAATAAAATTCCGCGCTTGGCTTGCTAAAGTTTGTGCGTCGTGTATGTATGTCGAAGGAAGCTCTTACGGCTTGATAGTCGTACTGGTGCGAGCTTGTAACTTCGGTGTACATATGATGTTTCTCCTCGAACTTTAGCTCAATTACCATATTGTCCCCTGAATCGAGACATAGGAAGTGGAGTCAAAATCATGGATTAGGGATGCAAAGGACTGGACTGACAAAACTTGCCACAGTAATGGTAAAAGAAGTCTGCACTTGATGTTGCAGATGTACCAGCTTGTTATTGAAGTAGCAAAGTGGAATATCGTAAACCATTATCGTATAATCTGAATGGTGTTCACTTTACACGAGTTAAGGAAATAGCTTTTATATATATATGAAATATGCTTGGGCCACCCTAAGACACATGATGTTTTTATGACAAACATCATAGAAGGAAGGAAGGCGAGGTGGCCAAGTACGAAGAGTAGTTACATAGACTATTACAAAAATTAAGGTAAACGTGGTGGCGTCGTACAAGGAAGGATGTGAATATCAGCGGTTTGCTTTTAGGAAAAACCTGCATTGAACTATGATCGACTTCGCTTGCTGCACCACATTTTAGTTACTAAGTGTTCCTAAAATACACACATCAAAAGTGTCTAGGGATCAAGTACGTTTAAGAGTATTGCTGCAATTAGGGTTAATTATATTAACTTTTTTGTATCGCTATTGATACTTTTTAGTGAGTTTTAACATTTAAATAAGGAATATTGTTTAAAATTCGATAATAAGAAGAAAATCGATTGTCAATGTGGTTTTGTATAAAAATGAGTTATGGCGTTTTGACAAAATCATTACAATATCTGCATCGGAACCGAAACAATTTACATTATTATGGAGAGACGACATCATTTAACTCGAGAAGTGATGATGCGAGCCGGCGGAATGTTGGAAGCTGGTTCCAGGCAACGTGCTGTGGCTTTCACTCTTAACACTACACAGAGCGTCATAAGTCGCCTCTGGACGCGCTATCGTATGACGGGCAGCGTGGCCGAGCGACATGGAGGACGATCTCGCATCACGACTCGCAGACAGGACCGGTATATCCAAAATACTGCTCGACGGAATCGTACCATGACCGCCATGATGTTGGTTACGAGGCTCCACAGCTCCTCAGGCTTGCTAATAAGCGATCAAACAATCCGAAATCGTTTACGTGAAGTGGGTCTGCGAT